AATTTTTCATATTGAAATTAGCATAGGTAAACTGACCACTCGACAACGGTAATTTCTTCTTCCTCTTCAACAATTTCCTCGTATCAACACCCACACGAATCCGAAGACCGCCCGAATATCCCAACGAAACAACAGAACTATCATATTCAATAAAAGTCCCAATAAAATTGCGGAATTGTTGAGCAACCTGTTCAGAAATGTATCCAACCGGCAGATCATTCACAAGAATCCATAAATTTACCACATTCAAGTCCACCTCACGGGGATCTTCTCCCGATCGAAGACGATGCAAAATTAATAGATGCGAATCGAAATACCATGGACCTTCCGAAACAATCCGACCCACAACATCATCATGATACAATCGAAACCATGTTAATTAAAATATAAAAATATACGACATACATAACCTGTTTGAGTACCTTTCTGAAAATACATTTATAACTTTATATTCTCAATTAAATATAAAATGAAAATTTGAAAAATTAACAAATCAATCCTAAATTAAAATTACAAAACCATATTAATATATTAATACAGTCCTTTGGACAATTTTAAGAAGGCGAGGAGGGGCATTTCCATTATTAATTTTCTGCATTTTCTTTCTAGAATCTCTAAATTGAAATCTTAAATGCAAGAGCTAAGAAAAGTGATACAATTAGTCTTTCAAAAAAAATATTATAAAAAGAAAAATAAAAGTTTTCATAAAGCTAAAATAATACTTTCTTTGTCCTATTAAATTTGTTCTTTATTGATTTTTTTTGCCAAATTTTCTTAACTTTAACTCATTATTATCTAAAATTTAGATAAAATGTCAATTTTTAATTTATTAAGTTTTGGGTTTATTTCAAAATTTGTGTTTTCTTTTTTTAATTTTTTTTCATGTTAAATAAAAAATTTAAATTTACCAGAGTGTGACACGTGTTTCTTAACGGGGAAATTAACAACGTTGACGACCTGAGCACCTAAATACTGACGTTTGTAACATTAGATACCTCAATGAGTCAACAAATAGTTTATACTCCTATTTGAGAAAAACAGTATAGTTTAGGCACTTATTTTGGTATTAAGCCTATTTAAAATAACATATTAACTTACACCGACTGAATCGGATGAGCTATCCAACTCATAAACATGTCTTCTCACTGTATTTTAAAATTAAACAAAAATTTTACTGACGAAAATCATTGTAATGATAAGTACATTAAAACGAATATTATTTTTAAATTCTATTTTATTTGTTTATATTTATTTTTAAATAAAATTTAGTATATTTGCTTTCTAGATAGTCAAGTATTCTCAAGCATTTGACTGTGTTATTTTACTAAATATTCTTTTGAATTCTTCATTTATGACATTTATATATTACAATAATAAATTAGTGAATCAAAGTTTTCCTTCATCTTAGAATTGAACTGAAAATGACCAAATTGATAAACTAAAGTTATGTGTTCAAAATTGAAGCATTGCAAATTTTAATGACAAAATCAATGCATAAATTAAAATTTCATGTCATCATCAAATTGTTACGTCAACAGACTGTTAATGGTTTAATGACTCGATACTTACATTGAACCCAAAAGCAATATTATGTGCTAAAATTAAAGCAACTGAAAGTTCAATGATAAAAATGACATAAGACCTAAAGTTTAGTGATATTTGGTTTAATTTATGATAAACTACACCATATATCACCGAATTTTTGGTGGACATATTATTTATATCGATAAACTTTCAATTGCTTTAATTATGGTATTGAATTTTGATTTTCGCTTCAGTTATATCCCTGGATCTTTAACTCAGTAATGTCGCGATGACTGATAATTGTCAACGTGGATGCCACATTAAAATGAAATTGTTTTTGGTGTGACTGTTTTTTATGTCCAAATTGACCAGAAATAATGTCGTTTTACTGAAGGAACTTGAGGGAAAAATAAAATGCTTCTAAGATGCTCGTTTTTCCAATAAAATGACATTTTGGGCAAAAATTGTTACATGAAAATGAAGTTGTTTTGGTGCGATGTCCACGTAGACAATCATAATTCACTTCATAGTGTTGTTACTGAATTAACAGTTTAATATTATAATTGGAACATCAATAAAAAATTAGTGTTATAATTGATAGTATTTAATGTAATGTCACGTCCCAATTTAGGTACTAAATTTTTTCTTAATTTAATTTTGAGAATTAAATTAAAATTTTAATTTCATAAAGCAACAAAGATTCAAAGACTTGAGACGTGAGTTTTCCATTTCCCAAGTGAGAGGAGTTTAAAATCCCTCCTAGCTTTGTAGAGGCTTTCCAAAATAGAAACACATAGCTCTCTCTCTCTCCACTTTTAGATTTCTCTCTCGTATTTTTTGTACAAGAACCTTTCATCGTCGTTTCGTTACCGTTCAGAGTTTCGTTCATTTCATCGTCCATACCATCATGTTTCTGGTGAAATTTTGAGTTCACCGGTGTTTATATTTTATTAATTGTCACCGAATTTTGAAGGAGTGAGGAGGAACTAGTTTTCAATGTTACAAAATTGAGCTCTCTGTTGTTCACCGTCATAAATCGAGCTTGGTAGTGACTCAAAACACCGTTTTATGCATTTTACAATTTTTTTCAAAAATTTTTCGACGCCTCAAACTGCCTGCGCGTGGGGCTCTTCCATTACCTCGGGGAGATGATTCGAAAAGTGAGTCAATCCAACCAACATACTGAGCTAGCTCGTATACCTATTTGACCCAAATCTAACAAGTTTATCCCAACTGAATCAGTCCAACTTAGTCCAATTGGCCCAACCCAATCGACCCAAATAGATTGGTCTATCTGAACCCAACTAAACTAGTACAACTGAGCCTAATCGAATTGAATGTTAACAACCTTTGACTATCGTTGATCGTTAATTGCCGTTGATCGATGTTGACTTTGACCTTTGATCGATATTGACTTTTTTCAAAAGCCTCTTTCTTGACTTTTTTCGATGTCCTAAGTATGATTTTGTGGTATGCTTTGCCAAATTCTAACCCGAAGGTCCCTAAATAAGCCCGTTAACCCAAAATGCATTATATTTTTAGTATTTTTACGTGTTTATTGGATTTTGAATATGGAATTGATTTGGAATTATATTTTTATGAAGGTACTCATATTTCCCCCATCGAGGATCAATTAGATCCTACACTTCTCATATAGAAAATTCACACAATTCGCATACTTTGAGAGTTACTTGAAGGTTTTCAGAAATTATTTAAATACAAATTTGTAATTTATCATATAAGGTCAATGATATAATTTCTTCCGATTTGTAGGATCTAGCTGCAGATCATGATAAGCAGACCCAGTACTAGACTACCTTGTCAAACTTCTCAGACCTATATAGGTGTGTTCCTGATGGTGTTACATTACTATTTTGATTTATTTGTTTGAATTGATATGGACTTTTGATGATATTGAATTTATGATTTCCTTGTTATTGTATTTTTTGAATATAATTTTAAATCATATAATGTTTTCATGTTTTAAATATTAAACTATTGTTTTGAATTAAATACATGTATATTTACTTTCATTGGGCATTATTGGAGGAAGTATATGAGTCTATGACTTGTAAGATCTTACTGCAGGCTCTTCTGCTTTGTAGACATGATAAATCCTTACCACATGTCCTTATGCTCTAAGTATAAAGTCCTTATCGGGTGTACAAGTAGGAATATGGTTCTTTGGAACCTACACATTCTGGTGTTTGGATCGGGTGATTGTCATGTTTTTTAAACATTTTTCTAAATTGATTTTTTACCGAAGTGTTTGACATCCGTATGTTTTTGTACGCTGTAAGGAGCACACTTAGATTTTTAGTTTACTCTTTAATTTTTCACATTTTCAGATATTACCAGACAATAGGCTAGCACACTTGGTATTAGGATAAACAGACCCAGTAGTAGGCTATCCTGTCAAACTTCTCAGACCGATATAGGCGTGTTCTTGATGGTGTTACATTACTATTTTGATTTATTTGTCTGAATTGATATGAACTTTTGATGATACTGAATATTTTAATGACATGATTTTTGATTTATTATATACCATTGATTGATTTTATGATTTTCTAGTTATTGTATTTTCTAAATATGATTTTAAATCATATAATGTTTTCATGTTTTAAATATGATTTTTAAAACATGTTTTCTAAATTGATTTTTTACCGAAGTATTTGACATCCGTATGTTTTTATACATCATAAGGAGCACACTCGACTTTTTAGCTCACTCTTTAATTTTTAACATTTTTAGATATTACCAGACAGTAGGCTAGCATACTTGGTATTACGATGATCGATCATTTCTCCTTTTTGTATCAATGTGTATATCTCTATATGTATTTTTTGTTATATTTTGGTGACACGAGTTTTTACCATTGTCTTTGTATATCTGCATTATCGATATTTTATTCTGGACATATTTCTATGTGGATTTCTGATGATAGTACATTTACATGTTCATCGTTATGGATTTTATTGGGTATATATTTTTATAATATCCTATTTATGCGTATTTATTTATTTATTATTGATTTTAACAATGTTTTAAAATTTGAAAGATTTTCTTGAATATTATATGTGAAAGATTAGATCTGACCGTAATGTCTGAGCCGGATCTAGGGATTTACACGTAGTTTACCCATAATTTTATAAAAAGCACAAATTATTAAGTCTTTCGTTGACTTTTCATTTCTAAGAGTTGTATATTACAATAATAAACTAGTGAAACAAAGTTTTCGTTCATCTTAGAAAAGGAATTCTGTAAGCAATTTTCAGTAAATAAATCTCAATCAAATTGAATATGTAAGCGATATTTTAAATTATTTTATGAAATCCTTTATGCAGCACGACAGTCTTGACTATTTCTAATCGAACGATATAAAAAAAAAATGAAAGAAATGAAATTATTAAGGTTCAATTTCAGTCTATAAATACCATCTCAGTTGTCATTTCTTACCACACCTCAAACACAAATTATCTCCCTGTGTTTAGTTTTTGTACAATTTGAAGATTTTCAAGCTCATCATGGGTGTATTCACGCATGAAATGGAGGTTAGTTCCCCACTTCCCACAGGCAAGGCATTCAAGAGCTTTGTACTTGAATCGGACACCCTTTTCCCAAAGGCCGCCCCTTTCGCAATCAAGGGCGTTGAGTACCTTGAAGGAAATGGTGGCCCTGGTAGCGTCAGGAAGGTCACCTTTGTGGATGGTAACCATTTACTTCCTTTCTCATTTTATTGTCCCTAAAAATATAATTATGTGTTCGAGGTTGATAAATTTATAAAGTTGGGATCGTGTTAATCTCAGAGGACAACATCTATTTCGAGGATTATATCAATAAGAATGATCTTACAATAATACTATAATAGTTCCAATATTTCACAGTTCTTTTTCCGTCTGGTTTGAAGTTTTACATGGCTGATAATAAACGGCTGGGGGTTCGATTACCTGAAGGAAAAGATCGATGATATAGACCAAGACAATTTGTCATACACGTACACAGTGATCGAAAGCGATCTTTTCAAGAACATAATTGAGAAAATCAGCTACGAGACCAAGTTCGCTGTTGCACCAAATGGAGGAACAACTGTTAAAGTGACCACCCACTTTTACTCCGTCGGCGACATCGAGATCAAGGAAGAAGCAGTCAAGGATTCACTGGAGAAGCGAGCCCGAGTTTTCAAGGCTGTTGAAGAGTACCTCTTGGCAAACCCAGATGCATAAATGTATAAGTTTCTTGGTGTTACTAATGGTGTGGTTTCCATGTTTCCTTGTGTTTTCCAGTGTGTGATTTGGGTAACAAGAGCGATGGTCTGTGGACTTGATTATCTGTATTTCCATTATAATAAAAGAGTTTTGAGGTGTTGTCTTTCATATACATGAAAAATAAACATATATTTGAAGTTGAAATCACTGTAGTTTTACATCCCAAACTATGAATCTCATTCTAAATCACTCCTCGAACTTCTGAACATTCTACTTAATTTCAACCTCCAACTATGATCTTCATTCTAAATTGATTCCCAGACTTTTGAATGTTTCAATTTCATCTCAAACTATCAGTATATATTAATCACATCCCATGTTAATAAAACTATCAAGCTGCTATAATATTATGTTTTTGAAAAAAAATTAGGTTAAATTATGGTCGAGACTAATTACATATTTAGATAAATTGGGGATGGAAGATTCAAAAGTTTGGGAACTAATTTAAAATGAGGGTTATAGTTAGAGATAAAATCGAAATGTTCAAAGTTTAAGGACTAATTTAGAATGTTAGGTATAGATTGAGAACAAAATTAGAATATTAAAACATTTAAAAATTAATTTAGATCGAGTGTTATTATTTAACTTGGCATTGCTAAAATTTAATGGAAATTGACAACAACTTGGTGAATTAAAAATAAGTTGAGAACCCAATAGACAATGACATGACACTTTCAATATCTTATTAATTCAAATAATTAGTCAATTATATTAGATAGAAACATATATGTTAAATTATATAAATGATCACTAATATTTGAGAAAATTTTTCTTTTATCTATTGATAAGTAACAATTTAATCACTAATTTTATTGGTTTGTAACAAAATGGCCGTTCAACCATTAACAACAGTTACTAAAGTAAAAGAGTGCTAATGTGGTATGTTAGTTTATTTTTTGGTATTATTTGATCACGTGAGACCATTTTAACCGGCCCTCACATCTTCGTTCTCTTTTTCTTCTACTCTTCATTTCTGACCTTTCTCCAAGTTCATCATTCCCAAATCTTTAAACTTTCCTAATTTTCTCTTTATTCCCTATAATCAGAAGTCCAACTACAACCCCTTCCACCTCTGTTCATATTGGCTTTATTCCAACATGTGTTTGTACTACGTGAGTGAGAGACGACGTTTAGGTGGTCATAAAATGAGGTGGAAAGGATTGCAATTGAGCTTTTCATTGGAGAAGATGGAGAAAAAAAGAGGAAAATTTAAGGATATGGGAAGGATGTGAATGGAGAAAGAAGGGAAACAATAAGTTAAAGAAGAAAAAGAAAAAGGAAAAGAAGTGAGAGTCGATCAAAATGATCTAACATAGTCAAATGATGACAAAGAAAAAATAGATTAACGTGTCACATCAACATTCTGTTACTCTAGAAATCGTCACAACCATTATTACCACTATCGATATATATAGGTTTACTTTTGTGGTTTCATTGAAATAACCATTCAGCTCAGTTGGTAGAGCACAAGGTTCTTAACTTTGAGGTCGTGAAATCGAGTCATATGGAGGGTATTTCATAATTTAGAGGTCTCTTACGGAAGTTGCTCTCAACTTAGTGTTGAGGTCAGCCTATTATCTTTCCTCCCCTTCCCTCATTACATATGGGAACAAGGGACGACTATTTTTTTTTTTTGTGATTTCATGGCGTTGAACGTTTAATGCTGTGATTTCCAAATTTCATATGGTATGTGGCTTTTATTATCCGTAGTTCTACACACACTCCTTTTTACTCATCTCATGTGAGCGCATTTGTGCAACGTTTTTTTTGGTCCATTAGGATAAATGGGTATATTATTTGATAAAATAATGTAAGTTAAAGTTTATTTTGGGATCTACGATATTTTTATAGTATTTATAGAACTAATCACGTTGAGGTGACGAGTTCCAATAAAATATTTTTTATTTAAACTCATCTCTTCGAGGGAGTTCTAATAAAATATAATTATTTATTAAAATGTATCATATAGTTAAAAAGTTTTAATAAAAAATATTTTTTATTAAAACTTGTCACATCGACGTGATAAGTTCCATGTACCGTAGAAAATGTAGATTCCAAAATAAAAATATTTGTATCCTATTTTGCAAAAAAAAAAAATTGATTCGGGCTGCCCTATTGGGCCAAAAAAGCCCTTGTGCAACCTCCTTATGTTTTGTTAGCCCAACGGTTTCATATCACTCGGCTGATTCTTCTGGGGCACCACGACCTTAACCAGGCAGAGGTCACGGAAACTAAGGGTGACCGTACTGATTAAATTGATAAAATTATATATGAAACAAATAAATTTTATTAAATTATTTAAAATTAAATAAATTGATAGATTGTATAACGTCAAGAAATAAATATTACCATAGCATTTAATTTCTATCATATCAAATGAATTTCGGTGACCAAACTGATTAACATTTGTAAGTTTGTTAAAAATATTGAACCTATTTTTTTGTTCGGTGACCGACATATAAAATCAATAATAGAGAAACCAATAAGGTAATTTACCCAGAAAACTACTAACCGCAAACGATGCCTTTTTCCCTAAGATATTTGCCTTCTAGATAGAGTCTTCTAAAGCATTTGATTGTTTATTTTTATATTTTTCTCAAGCATTGTACTGTTTTTTTTCTTTTCATTTTCTACTTGTATATATAGGGACATAATCATCTTACACAAGTAAAACTCTTTTTGTTTTCACATATTTAAGACCGTTACATGAGTGAAAATAGATAGTTGAGATTAAAGTAAGAATACGAAGATATTTACTGGAAAAAAAACAATGAGTCAATCTTAGCGATCTATTTTCACTCATCCATGATCTTAAATCTGTGTAAAACTAAAGATTTTATATAACCATGTTTCCAATCTATTTATCTACTAATCTTGATCGGGTACTACAGAAGTAAGGGTGACTGTCTTAACCCAATTTATTCCATTCGCAATCGCTAGGATTCGAACCTCTGACCTGCTTAGGAAATCTACTATCTAATCACACTAGATCAACTGGTTGTTGGTTCCGGCTGATATATTTTTTTTCAATCTGTATGACATTTACTTTTGGGAATAACCCACGTGGGCATTGACGGAATGCTAGGTATGACTCATATACCATTGGCGGTACGAGGTATTTTTGTAATTGTACCGGGGTTACTATATATATGTAATTGTAACCTAATTTTGGATTATTGCGATAATAAAAGAACAACACTCACGCTCTCGAGGACGTAGGCACATTGTGAACCTCTTTAAATCTTGTGTTCTTTATTTGCTTTACTGCTTGTTGATTTCTTGAGTTAATTAGCCTATTTTCAAAACAATTGGTATCAAGAGCAAGGTTTGAGATGGCTATGTCAGGTGCAAATTCGAAGTGGAGAGTTTAACGGTCATGGTAACTTTGGATTATGGCAAACGATGGTAAATGATTTGTTGGCATAGTAAGGGATTTTAAATGCTCTACGACCTCAAAAGCCAAAATCAATGAAGGACGATGATTAGAAAGAACTGCAACAGCGAGCGGCATGAACAATAAGGTTATGTGGTAAACCAGGGTTATGTATCATGTAATGGGTCTGTCGTCTCCATGAGAAATATGGAAAAAATTGGAAAGTCAGTTTATGTCCAAATCCCTAACGAATAAACTGTATCTAAAGCAGAGGTTGTATGAGTTGCAGATGAAAGGTCATGATTTGGAAGAGCACATGAATGTCTTCAATCAAATAATTACAGATTTGGTTCAACTTGATGTGAAGATCGAGAATGAAGACAGAGCAATGATTATGTTATGTTCACTGCCTTTTACGAACACGTGGTGACTACTCTTACATATGGAAAAGAAACAATCAATGTTGAAGAGATTACTGTAGCCTTGTTAGCTCACATCCAACGGAAGTAGAATGCAGGAAAAAGCTATCATGCTGATAATTTATATATTAAGGGTTATCAATGTAACACCCATAACCTGTATAATTATACCTATACAGATTATAGATGTCACCTGAATTTCTAAAACCATTCTCAATTCAAAAGTGATTTAAAATTTATTTTCTTAAAATGGTAAATGATATTATAAAAATATCATATCATATAAATTATGTTTTGTTATAACAAATTTAAAGTAAAAGATTTTTTATGAATAATACCGTGAACATTGATGAACAGTACCGTGAACAGTGTACCGAAGCACTGCTACAGTAACTGCTAAATAGATGTTAAAGATTAATGGAATTTTATGATTTTAGTACTTTTGGTTCAAGATTAGAGATGTTCATTCATTCCGATTACTATGGTAATTTCCCCCGATTAATCTGTGGTAATTACAAAATAATATATACTCAAAGATAACTCTCGACCATTTGACATTGAACGCTTACACCCCTGATATTCCTAATACTCGAACTCGGGACCTCAAGGAATAACAATAATTTTTTGAAGAAGACAATAGTGGGTGACCAAAACAAAACAAAAGTGGTAGTTGATATATTAAATATGTAGTTTACCCTAAATAAACCCAGCAAAATGAAATATTTTTAAAATAGATTTAGAATTGAAATTCTAATATTAAAATACTAATAATATCAGCTTCACGAGTCTTTCTTTAACTACGTGATCAACCGTCAGTGTGAATTCGACAGGTGGAAGAAAAGGGAAAGGAATTAATTATCAAAAAAGGAATAAACCCGGTAGAAGAAGTCATTGAAAGTGAAGAGAAATCTGGGTTAAGCCGAAAGACTATTAATTATACCATTTAATTATTAAATAAGATTAACAAAATTATTTATCGTTCATATTTAATGAAAGAGTTGACATATCAATTAACAAAATTGATATAATCATGTATTTGATCCTTAATATTTATATTATATTATATCAATTTAATTTTAATTTTAATTTTTATTTAAATAAAAAATTATTTTTTAATCATACAATGAAACATGTCACTAATGACATCAAACTAAGAACTTATTGTGAAAGGTGAGGTACCTCAACTATTGAAGTGAAAGCCACATGGATCACAATAAGAAATGAGAAGATAGATGAATGAGCGGAGATTAATGGATAAGATTAAAAGTAGGAAATGAAAAGATATTTACTAAAAAAATAAAACAAAGAGTTAATCTCAACGATTCTAAATTTATGTAAAACTAATCTGTATAAAATTAAAAGAGTTTTACATATATATTGACAAAAAATAAAAAATTGAAATCATTGAATAAATCTAACAATTTATTAATAATTCAAATATATATATTTATTTAGGATTATAGTTAATGTAGAATTTAAAATAAACATTAATTTATGATTTTATATTTTTAAATTACATTTGATATTTTTTATAGTTATTTATAATTATATATAAAATTATTAAAATTATTATTTTAATTTAATTCATAATTTTAATTTTTTTTATTAAAAATAAAATATATATTTCATTTATATTTTAGTTAATTTTTTATTAATTGTTTAGTTTAAATTGTGTTACTTTAGTTATAATATTAGCATGATTAAAATCAACATAGATGGATGAGATTTAATTCTCAAAAATCCTTTTGAAGACAGAGAAATAATATTCAAATTAGAAATTTATCTTGTGATTTGAGTTGTGCCGATGAATTTAGGGTTCGTTAAATGAATATTTAATATAATATATTATAATCACTTAATTATAAAGGGAGAAAAAGAAAAAAATGTTACATTTATTTAAGGGCAAATTACACCATTCCTCACTCTACTTTATTCTCTCTCCTATTTTGCTCATTGAACTTTACAGATTAAATGATTTTGCTAACTCTGTCGTTAAATTTTTAACGGCGTTATGACGTGGCACATGAATCAAAACGATGCCGTTTTGAAAAACTCAAATATACTCTAAAACGACGTCGTTTTGGTGAGTAAAAATGAGATAGAAAATTTAATGACTCATGGTGTAATTACATTTTTCCTAATGACTCATGGTATAATTTACCCTTCTTCCTTCTCTTCTCCATTTTCTCTCCATTGACCACCACATCATTTTCATTCCGACCATCGACCGTCATAGATGGTAGTCGTTCAGTCCCAAAATGGGATGGGTCGGTTCGTCTCAAACCCCTGAGTCTAGATCTGGTGTTTGTTTCATCGAAAAATATCTCAAAACCCGTGAATTTTGACTGAAATGTTTTGGTTTCCTCACTTTCAATCTCAAACTTGTGGACTTCGGAGCAACTTTTAACAAAATGGAGGTCGGATTCGAACTCACGACATCGAGGCGAAGTGACCCATCTCATTTTGGGTCTAAACGACCACCATCTATGGCGGTCAACGGTGACCGATGATACCATCCAGCTACCTTATGTTTTTATTTTATTTTTAAATTGTTTATATTAAATAATAGTAAAAAATGCCAAGTTAGAGAGAAAACATGGGAGTGAGCAAAATGATTCAATCTATAAAATTCAATAAGTAAATTAAAAAAATTGAAATCTCGGAGAGCAAAATAGGGGGAGAGAGAGCAAAGTAGAGTGAGAAACAGTGTAATTTACCTTTTTTTTAAAAAATATAAAATTTTAAATTTATTTGTATTTTAAATATTGCATTAATCAGTGGCGGATCCAAAAAAAATTTAGGATAGGTCCACATATATAAATAACATAAAATTTTCGTATAGGTAGACACAAATAAAATTTCAATATGAACAAAATCAATAAGACAAATAATAAATCGAAGAAAATTCTAATTTGAGGTAATAACGTGTACAACCCTAATAGAAGAGTGAATTCGCCACTGACACTAACTATAATTTAATATAAAATATATTTAACTATAAACAAATTATTAAATTTATTATAGTAGTTTTAGTACTCCTATACTCCCCAATTAACCCATTTTTTAGTCATTATTTGACCATTTTTGGCCATTAACTATATTATAAGATATGCATAAGTTGTCTTCCATAAGCCTAACGTGACATTTGGCGACATTTGGCCTAGTGGTAAGGGTGCCCCCACCTTACCCTCAAGCTCCTATGTTTAACCTCCTTCGATCTTTCTTTTAATTTATTTTTCTTCAAATAAGATAATAACACGTCGTTATTATTAATTAAATACTTTTAAATTAAACTAATTTAGGACTACAATAATAAAATATATAAATAACAAAAATCAAATTTATAATTATACTGAATTTATTATCTATCCCGTCAATTCTTCCATCAAATATTAACTACAAATAACTTAATTAGCATCATTTAAATAATTAAATAATCTAATTGATAAAATTAAAATATCAGTAATTAGATTAGAATCCCCTAATTAAATGGTCATTGTATACTTTATCCTAACATATTTTTTGGACAAGTTTATCCTATATATTTACAAACCGCAAACAACCACCACTTTAATTAAGATATTTTCCTTCTAGATAGTCAAGTCTTTAATTTTAATTTCTTATTTATTTATTTTTAAATACATTACCAATACGGATGATTTTATTGACAAAAACTTCAAGCTTAGAAGAAACTTGTTGAGACATTCAAAATCAAAGTTTGGCTTCATCCAAGAATTGATATTCCGTAAGCGATTTGTCATTAATAAATAAATAGCAACCGCATCACATGTAAGCAATAGATGAGTTTTGTGCAACATTTCAAACTACAAATCGGCCATTATTTTATGGAATTCTTTATGCCGTATGCCATTCTTGACTATTTCTTGCTGATTCAACACTCATATTTGTTTTTTGAAAGAAATTCAACAGTAAAGCTTCAATTCGAGCCTATAAATACAGTCCCAGTCTCTCCTTTCTTCCCACACCTCAAACTCACTCTCACTTCATCACATTCTCTCTGTGTTTAATCTTTGTTTATCGTTCATAATGGGTGTTTTCACACTCGAAATGGAGGTTAATACCCCAATTCCCCCACAAAAGGCATTCAAGTCCTTTGTGCTTGATTATGACACCATTTTCCCCAAAGTTGTCCCTCATGCTATCAAGAGTGTTGAGATCCTTGAAGGCGATGGTGGCCCTGGAACTATCAAGAAGATCAGCTTTGCTGATGGTACTCACTTTCCAAGGAGCTATTACTAGTCAGGAGAATGGAAAATGGATGGCTGCAATGGTTGAGGAGATGGAGTCTTTGCAGAAAAATCGTGCATGGGAACTAGTTCATAATTCTAAGGGAGAGAAGGCTATAGACTGCAAATGGGTGTATAAAAGGAAACCAGTAGTATCAGAAAGGGGGGGAATTTCAAGGCTTGATTGGTAGCAAAGGGTTTTTCACAGCAGAAGAGAGTAGATTATGATGAAATCTTTTCTCCCGTGGTTAGGCATACTTCAATCAGGGCACTACTTGCATTGGTAGCTAGTTGGGATTTGCATTTAGAGCAGATGGATGTCAAAACTGCCGTTTAGCATGGTGATTTAGAGGAGCAGATTCATATGCAGCAACCAGAAGGGTTCACTCAACCTGGACATGAGTATTTGGTTTGCAGGTTGAAGAAATCCTTATATGGGTTGAAATAGTCTCCAAGACAATGGTATAAACGGTTCGACTCCTATATTATTAAGATTAGCTACAAGCGATGTGAGTATGATTGTTGTGTTCATGTTAGAAGTCTTGATGACGGTTCTTTTATTTTTCTGCTACTGTATGTTGATGATATGTTAATTGCTGCAAAGAAGATGCATGATATTGTTGGTTTGAAAGCTTTATTGAGCCAGGAATTTGATATAATGACTTAGGTGCTGCAAAGAAAATTTTTGGAATGGAGATTCACAGGGATAGAGGCTCAAGAAAACTGTGGTTATCTCAATAGGGCTATGTTGAGAAAGTGTTAGACAGGTTTGGGATGAGCAATGCAAAGTCGATAAGCATTTCAGTGTAAAAACATTTTAAGCTTTCTTCAAAACAATGCTCTAAAATAAGGAAGTTGTTTGATGTATGCAATGATATGTAATCGCCCTGATTTAGCTCATGATGTTAGTCAAGTTTGTAAATACATGTCTAAACCAGGTAGGCGATATTGGGAAGCAGTCAAGTGGATTTTCAGGTAGTTGAAGGGCACTGTAGGGAATGAAATTGTTTTTGGTAGTCAGCATGATAATCCTTTGGTTGTAGGACATGTGGATTCAGACTATGCAAGTGACTTGGATGATAGAGATCTACAACTGAGTATGTTTTTACTCTTGGTGGAGGGCTTATATGTTGAAAGTCAACTATTCAGTCTATTGTGTCATTATCTGCAACTGAAGCAGAATATATGAAGCATAATATTTTGGATGATAAATGATACAATTAACTCTATTTATAAAAAAATCTAGTAAATCAAATTTTTGCCTTCATAAATTCCGTAAGCAATTTTTCTTTAATAAATACATAGCAATCAAATCAAATATGTAAGCAAAAGTGGAATTTGAACAACATTTGAAATTATAAGTTGGCCATTATTTTATGGAATTCTTTATCCAGGGTAGCATTCTTGACTATAGAACAAAATTAAACCTTTTAATTTAAAGAAATTCAATTGTAGAGCTTCAATTTGAGCCTGTAAATGGCATCCCAGTTTCTCATTTCTTCCCACACCTCAAACAAAGTCTCACTTCAGTACATACTCTTTGTGTTTAATCTTTGTATTATCATTCATAATGGGTGTTTTCACACACGAAATGGAGGTTAATACCCCAATTCCCCCCCCACAAAAGGCATTTAAATCCTTTGTGCTTGATTATGACATCATTTTCCCCAAGGTTGTCCCTCATACTATCAAGAGTGTTGATATCCTTGAAGGCGATGGTGGCCCTGGAATTATCAAGAAGATCAGCTTTGCTGATGGTACTCACTTTCTTCCCCCTTTTTTCCTCGAATTTTAACGGATACAAATATGTGTCGACATAGTTTTTATCGTATATCTACGTATTCATGTCTGATTCAATGACTTTCTTGGTTGATAACAAATGCGGGCATGGGATTAACTTATGTGAAGCTCAAGGTTCATACACTGGACAAAGAGAACAGGTCGTACGGTCACAGTGTGATTGAAGGTGATATTTTGAGCAACAAACTCGAGAAAATCACTGATGAGAACAAGTTCGAACCAGCACCCAATGGAGGAACAATCGTTAAGATAACGACCAAGTTTCACACCGTCGGTGACACCGAGATGACGGAAGACGAAATGAAGAAGGTGATCGAGAGCCGAGCCCGAGTTTTCAAGGCCGTCGAAGAGTATCTCGTGGCAAGGCATGCAAAACCTAATAAAGAGAGGAGCCAACTAATGGATACTTGATGTAGTCAAAATCACATATGTGGACGCTCTTATAGACCTGTTTACCACGACTCTGATTGTTAAAAATTTTGAGAAACGTAAAAGATTAATGGAATTTTATGATTTTAGTACATTTTGGTTCAAGATTAGAGATGTTGATATTCATTCCGATTACTATGGTAATTTCCCCCGATTAATTTGTGGTAATTATAAAGTAATATCTACTCAAAGATAACTCTCAACCATTTGACATTGAACGCTACACCTCTGACATTCCTAGTGCTCAAACTCGGGACTTCAAAGAATAGCAAATTTTTTTTTGAAGAATACAATAGTGGGTGACCAAAACAAAACAAAACAAAAACGGTAGTTGATATATTAAATATGTAGTTTACCCTAAATATTAACACAGCAAATTGAAATAATTTTTTAAAATAGATTTAGAATTGAAATTCTAATATTAAAATACTAATAATTTCAGCTTCACCAGTCTTTCTTTAACTATGTGATCAACCGTCGGTGTGAATTCGACAGGTGGAAGAAAAGGGAAAGGAATTAATTATCAAAAAGGAATAAACCCGGTAGAAAAAGTCATTGAAAGTGAAGAGAAATCTGGGTTAAGCCGAAAGACTATTAATTATACCATTTAATTATTAAATAAGGTTAACAAAATTATTTATAGTTAATATTAACGAAAGAGTTAACATATCAATTAATAAAATTGATATAATGTATTTGATCTTTAATATTCATATTATATCAATTTAATTTTAATTTTAATTCAAATAAAAAAATATTTTTAATAATACAATGAAATATGGCTGTCCCTTTTTCCCATATATATGGGGTAAGGGGAGGTAAGATAGTAGGCTACCCCCAACACCAGGTTGAGAGCAGCTTCCATTAGAGACCTCCAAATTATAAAATGCCCTCCGTAGGACTCGATCCCACGACCTCAAGGTTAAGAACCTTGTGCTCTACCAACTGAGCTGGATGGTCATTTGACTTATGGATTACAATAGGTAAGAAATGAGAAGATAGATGAATGAGTGAAGATTAATGGATTAGATTAAAAGTAAAAATGAGAAGATTTTACTAAGAAAATAAAACAAATAGTTAATCTGAACGGTCCTAAATCTATGTAAAATTAATATATAAAGCTAAAAAGAGTTATATATATATAAATTGAAAAAAATAATAAAAATTATTGAAATAAATCTAATAATTTATTTATAATTCAAATATATATATATATATATATAATTAGTTAATGTAGAATTTAAAATAAACATTAATTTATGATTTTTATATTTTAAAATTAAATTTGATATTTTTATAGTTTTTATAATTATATAAAATTATTATATTGATTATTTTTAATTTAATTCATAATTTTTATTTTTATTAAAAATATATTTCATTTGTATTTTAGTTAATTTTTTTATTAATTGTTTAGTTTAAATTGTGTTATTTTAGTTATAATATTAGCATGATTAAAATCAACATAGATGGATGGGATATAATTCTCAAAAATCCTTTTGAAGACAAAGAAATAAAATTCAAATTAGAAATTTATCTTGTGATTTGAGTTGTGCTGATGAATTTAGGGTTCGTTAAATTAATATTAATGTAATATATTATAATCATTGAATTATAAAGGGAGAAAACGAAAAAATGTTAATTTATTAAGGGTAAACTACATCGTTCTCACTCTACTTTATTCTCTCTTCTATTTTGCTCATTGAACTTTCCATTTTTTCTAATTTGCTCATTGAACTTTACATTTGAATCATTTTGCTCACTCTGCCGTTAACTTTTTAACGGTGTTATGACGTGACACATAAATCAAAACGACGCCGTTTTGAAAAACTCAAATATACTATAAAACGACATCATTTTGGTGAGTAAAATATGAGATAGAGTAAAGTTTAATGACTCATGGTGTAATTTATCATTTTTCCTAATTACTCATGGTGTAATTTACCCTTTTTCATTCTCTTCTCCATTTTCTCTCCGTCGACCACCACGCTATTTTCATTCCGGCCACCTTCGACCGCCGTAGATGGTGGTTGATCGGTCCCAAAATAGGATGGGTTGGTTCGTCTCGACCCCCTGAGTCTGGATCTGGTGTTTGTTTCATCGAAAAATGTCCCAAAAACCCGTGAATTTGGACTGAAACGTTTTGGTTTCCTCACTTTCAATCTCAAATTTGTGGACTTCGAAGCAACTTCTGACAAAATAGAGGTCGGATTCGAACTCATGACATCAAGGCGAAACGACCTGTCCCATTTTGGGTCTAAACGACCACAATTTACAACGGTCAATGGTGCCTGACGATAGCATCCAACCACATTCAGTTTTTATTTTGTTTTTTAATTGTTTTATATTAAATAATAATGCCATGTTAGAGAGAAAACGGGAGAGTGTGTAAAATGATTCAATCTATAAAGTTCAATGAGCAAATTAAAAAAATTGAAAGTTCGGTGAGTAAAATAGGAGAGAGCGAAGTACAGTGAGGAACGATGTAATTTAAGCTTTATTTAAAAATATAAATATAAAATATATTTTATTTTAAATCTTGCATTAATCAGTGGCGAATTCAAAAAAAATTAGGGTGGATCCACATGTATGAATAACATAAAATTTTTGTATAGGTAGATACTGATAAAATTTTAAGGTGAGCAAAATTAATAAAATAAATAATAAATTGACGAAAATTCGAATTTCAAGTAACAACGGGTCCAACCCTAATCGAAGAGTGAATTCACCACTGACACTAACTATAATTTAATATAAAATATATTTAACTATAAACAAATTATTAAATTTACTATAGTAGTTTTAGTACTCGTATACTCCCCAATTAACCCATTTTGAGTCCTTATTTGACCATTTTTGGCCATTAACTATATTATAAGATATGCATAAGTTGTCTTCCAATAAGCCTAACGTGACATTTTGGCGACATTTGGCCTAGTGGTGAGGGTGCCCCCACCTTACCCTCAAGCTCCCAAGTTTAATCTCCTTTGATCTTTCTTTTAATTTATTTTTCTTCAAATAAGATAATAACACTTGTCATTATTATTTGATTAAATACTTTTAAATTAAACTAATTTTAGGACTACAATAATGAAATATATAAATAACAAAACTCAAATTTATAATTATACTAAATTTATTATTTGTCACGTCATCTGTTTCATTAAATATTAACTAAATTAACTTAATTAACATTACTTAAATAATTAAATAATCCGATAAATATTAAAATCCCCTAATTAATGGTCATGATATACTTTATCCTATACATATATTTTTTGGACAAGTTTATCCTATATATTTACAAACCGCAAACAACCACTTTAATTAAGATATTTGCCTTCTAGATAGACAAGTCTTTAATTTTAATTTCTTATTTAAATATATATTACCAATACGGATGATTTTATTATTGACAAAAACTTCAAGCTTAGAAGAAACTTGTTGAGACATTCATAAATTAAAGTTTGGCTTCATCCAAGAATTGATATTCCGTAAGTGATTTGTCATTAATAAATAAATAGCAACCGCATCACATGTAAGCCATAGATGAATTTTGTGCTTCAAACGACAAATCGGCCATTATTTTATGGAATTCTTTATGCTGTATGCCATTCTTGACTATTTCTTGCTGATTCAACACTCATCTTTGTTTTTATTGAAAGAAATTCAACAGTTAAGCTTCGATTCGAGCCTATAAATACCATCCCAGTCCCTCCTTTCTTCCCACACCTCAAACTCACTCTCAGTTCATCACATTCTCTTTGTTTTAATCTTTGTTTTAATCTTTGTTTATCGTTCATAATGGGTGTTTTCACACACGAGATGGAGGTTAATACCCCAATCCCCCCAGATAGGGCATTTAAGTGCTTTGTGCTTGATTATGACACCCTTTTCCCCAAGGTTGTCCCTCATGCAATCAAGAGCGTTGAAGTCCTTGAAGGAGATGGTGGCCCTGGAACTATCAAGAAGATCAATTTTGCTGATGGTACTTCCTTTCTTCCCCCTTTTCCCTCGAATTTCAACTGATATAAATGCGTGTCGACATCGTTTATGTCGTATATCTTCGTATTCGTGTCTGAACTTTTTTCGGTTGATGGAAAATTTAGGCATGGGAATAACTTATGTGAAACACAAGGTTCATACACTGGACAAACAGAATAGGTCTACCAGCTACAGTGCGTTCGAAGGCGATGCTTTGGGCGAAAAAATCGAGAAAACCACCGAAGAGAACAAGTTCGATCCGGCACCGAATGGAGGAACAATCATTAAGATAACGACCAAGTTTCACAGCGTCGGTGATGCCGTGATCACGGAAGAAGAAATGAAGAAGGTGATGGAGAGCCGAGCCCAAGTTTACAGGGCTGTCGAACAGTATCTCGTCGCAAATCCTGATGCCTAGAACTATATACGCATATAGCGTCAGTGGTGTGCTTTCATGGTGTGATTTCAATGTTTTTGTGTGTGGTTTGTTAGCCCAAAACTGTGTTTGATTGGGTAATAAAAGTGATGGTCACTGGGTTTGATCATCTTACATCAATCGTTACCAGAAATTACTACCATATTACCTTGTGATTTCTGAGAACTAGTTGCATAATATTACTAGTTTCTTGGAGTTTCTCTCATCCTCTTGAACTCATATGATCAAAAGTTCATTAGTTCATCATTTGACCTTATGTGCATCATAAGATATCTAAAAGAAGTATAATAAAATGAGAAACATATCATGATATAATACAAGAAGTCACCATTAATATCTATTTCTGAACACTATAAAGGTGTTTGAACATTAATTATCAAATGATTGAAAGTCTTTCGAACAAATTTTAAACATATTTACTAAACAACATTTGAAGCAATAGATCAATTAAACTTTATTATGAGTTCACCAATGTAAAATCATATAACTCATAATCAAATATATTCAAGGCATAATCAAATATATTCAAGGACGACGTAAGATTTTATGTTGGGGGCGAACTTGAACCTATAAAATTTCAAGGATAGAACTTGAACTTATAAAATTTTAGAGAATGAAAAAACATATTTTAAATAAAATATATATATAAAAAAATATGATAATTTTAAATTTTCAGAGTGACAATCACCCCCACCCACTACTTCAATTACATCATGAGATCAAAGCAAAAATTACGCACCGTAGTGTTATCCATACCTCGAACGAGTTCGTACACTAATTATATTAAAATAATCGGAATTTGAATTTTTAACTGGCTATTGAGTGTTGCTTTGTTGAGTCATTTGACTATTAAAAAGTTACAAAATCATCACCAAACTATTCATTATGTTCGAAATTCGTATTTTTTCGTTAAAAATTGACAGTATTCTAAGTTGAACGGTAACCTGGTAATTGTGATATGGTAAAATATAATCCTAGAATCTCAAATGTCTATCATATCTCAGTCATCATGCTACCGTCCAGTTTAGACAACTGCCAATTTTTAACGGAAAAAAATGGGTTTGGAACATAATGAATAGTTTGATCATTTTGTAACTTTTAATAGATGAAGGACTTAACAAAACAATGTTGTATAGTTAGAGGATCACTTTGTAACTTTTAATAGTTGAAAGACTTAATAAAGCAACATCCTATAGTTGAGGTACCATTTGAATACTTTACGCAAATATTTAAAGTGGGTATCAAAATCAACAAACCAAACCCAGCCTACCTGATTTTCTCCGTCTCTGTTTTCACTTCTAGTTATTACTTTGACAAACTAAATGTTACCGACAATCAACTCGGATTTGGATATTTATAAAAAAATGGTTCAAAATTATAGATGTAGGGTTGAGGCCTATGTAATTATTTTTTTAAAAAAGTAATTGGATTCTGTTTTATATAATTATTTTAAAAATTAAGTTTTATTTAACCGAATTACTATACTAATTTAAATTTTGTAATAAAATTGTAAATATTAATTAATAGTTAGTCTAATAGAATAAAACACATTATTTTAACTATGCGATAAATCGTCATTGTGAATTTGAAATATGAAACATAAAGAGGAAAGGAATTAAATAGAAAAGGGAATTAACCCTGTAAAGAAGTCATTGAAAGTGGGTAGAAATTTTGGGTTAAGCTGAGAATCTACTAAATAAAGTCGTTAATTCTGCCTTTAAACCAGTGTTTTTCCTGAGAAAATATTGACTAGAAGCAGAGAATAATAGTAAACGTCGTACGCACATGGAAAACCTATCTAATTTCCACTTTCTCCTGTTTTTCTTAAGTTTTTTAATCTAGAATTATATAGTGACTTTATTGATAAAAAATATTTTCTAAAAAATTTTGGGTTTAATAAGCTATTGTAGAATATATATATATACGTTGTCAATTAGTTAATAAAGTTTTGAACATATATTTTTTTGTAATTATCTTATACTCAGGGACGGAGCTAGGATTATAGTCCGAGGGTAAAGTATAATTAACAATAAAATATGAGAAGGGCAGAATCAAAATAAACAAAAACTTGAGGTTAAGGGGCGAACTATAGTTAACAATAAGAAAGGAGAGACAAAATCAAAATAAACCAAAAATTGAAGGACCAAATAGATAGTTATCCTTATATATTTTTAATGATAAAAAACTGGGGTAGTGACCCGAGCTAATGTATAACTCCGTCCCTGCTTATACTAAAAATATAAATTTAGAATATCTAATTTATTAAATACCGTAAGCAATTTGTCGTTAATAAACAAACAGCAATCGCATCAAACATGTAAGCAATAGAGGAATTTTGTGCAGTCGGCCATCATTTTGTGGAATTCTTTAAGCAGTGTGCCATTCTTGACTTGACTTTTTCTTGCTTTCTTTTTTAACTTAAAGAAATCCAATAGTAGAGCTTCAATTTGAGCCTGTAAATGCCATCCCAGTTTGCTCGTTTATTCTCGCACCTCAAGCACACTCACTCTTCATCACATTCTCTCTGTGTTTAATCTTTGTATTATCATTCATAATGGGTGTTTTCACACACGAAATGGAGGTAATACCCCAATTCCCCCACAAAAGGCATTTAAGTCCTTTGTGCTTGATCACGACACACTTTTCCCCAAGGTTGCCCCTCATGCAATCAAGAGCGTTGAGGTCCTTGAAGGAGATGGTGGCCCCGGTACCATCAAGAAGATCAACTTTGCTGATGGTACATACTTTCTTCCTTTTTTATTTCCTTACATAATGATAAAATTAGTATCCAACGTTTATATAAACGATCATTTTGTTCCCTTATAAAAGTATCATTAGTTTAATAATGATCAACACACGTTACTGATGTGATGCAATTCACATGTTTAACTAATGACATGGAATGTATAACGTCATCAAAGTGATGACGTGGGATGTGACATGTCATTAAAGTGATGACGTTAAATTTGATCGTCACCAAAGTAATAGCGTGACACGTCTCATAATTAAAGTGATTTGTCATGTACTACATCACCCAAAGTTGATATATCATGTGTTTTGTCACCTAAAGTGATGATAATACACATGTCATGTCAATAAAGTAATGATATTATACATACCGCGTTATCAAAGTGATAATGTGACATATATCACGTCATCAATTAAATACATGTAAAAATTTTACATCAACAATATGTGTTAATCATTAATCAACTAACAGTTTTCATCCTACAAGTCTATTTTGATAAAATGAAATGTTAAGGGTTAAAATATTCTAAAAAAAATAAAGAACATAGTGATCATTTATACAAATATTTAGTTTTGGCTTTGTCATTATGCATTTTTCCTGGGATTTTGTCATAGATGTCTTATATCGACGTACCAATGTCTGATTCAATGACTTGTCTCGGTTGATAACAAATGCAGGCATTGGATTCAATTATGTGAAAAACAAGATTCATAAATTGGACAAAGAGAGCAGGTCGTACAGCGATTGTGTGATCGAAGGCGATGCTTTGAACAACAAACTTGAGAAAATCTCCGATGAGAACAAGTTTGATCCAGCACCGAATGGAGGAACAATCATTAAGATAACGACCAAGTTTCACACCGTCGGTGACAGCGAGATAACGGAAGAAGAAATGAAGAAGGTGATCGAGAGCCGAGCCCAAGTTTACAAGGCTGTTGAAGAGTTCTCGTCGCAAATCCGATGCCTAAAACTACATACTCATAAGGCGTCAGTGGTGTGTGGTTTGTTAGCCCCAAAACTGTTTGATTGGGTAACAAAAGTGATGATCACTGGATTTGATCATCTTACATCAATCGTTATGAGAAATTAATTTTAATTTGTTTTCAGTAAGATCCATGACGTTACCTCTCGTAAGTGTTATCTGACGTGGCACATTACCTCCCGTTAACCCCTTCTTCTTCTTGATGATCCCACCAACAAAAACCATGAAATTCACACCTTCTTCTTTAACTATCCCACAAACTTCACACTGAAAGTCAAATCCAATTGAAAGAAACTCAAGTATGGTTAAAACTGAACTTGAACAATTCGGTGGGGAAATCGAATAGGGGTAGGTTAAAGCCTATTCCCAATGGTCCAGTCACTGAATATAGCTGGAACTTTAATGCTCCATAATTCGATACTAGCCCTTTCTTGTTTAAAAAATTTATTGATTCCATGAGAGTCATAGTTGCTCAAGTACTAAAAGTAAAATTGACAGCAATGGAATATAAAAAATTGTTAACATTTACACTATGGAAGTATAAGTGCAGATCCATCAGCTGATACCTGCTGGAATTTAGTCCACAAATACCAAGTAGAGAGGTTTTTCAACCTATGTCAAGGACAATGAAACCTACAAATGGAGGCGTACACTTTACTACTATAAATGAAACAAAGTCAAAACAATTAAGATAAAAAAATTGCAAACACAAAGTGAGGAAAATATTCAGCAAAGACAAGAATCTATACCTATAGAAAATTCTAAACAACAGGTATCTGCATCCCCTTTCTGTTTCTCTCTCTTCAGTGTTACTGTAAATTAGGAGTAACTTTTTTTTGAAAAAAGAAGCAGCTAGCACCAGAATTATAGCATGGAATGGAAGCATGAAAGAAATACGAACTCCTAGTGAGTAGCAGAAAACAAGGCAATATAAAAGACAATGACGGTTCAAGCTACAACGTCTCTCTCTCTCTCTCTCTCTCTCTCTCTCTAGTGAGGGTAAATTACACACGTGGCCATTCAATTTGATCAAAAAGTCTACCAACTATTTAAATAGTTCAATCAAACCATAACTTTTAACCGTGGAAATAACGTGGTAGTTAAAATTTAACCATAGAATGACTCCTCGGTTAACTTTTTAGTGTAATTATATATTTGGTCCTTGTTACATATTCAAACGTTCTTCTACCCAGTATTTTATAAAAAAAAATTCTTGATTTTTGGAAGGATTATAACATATCAAGTAAAGCACAATTTAGAAAGAAGAAAGCATTAGAATTTGCAATTCTAAAATGGAGATGATCAAGGCAAAAAGTCAATAGAGGATAAACCTGTCAATTTGGTTTGCAGAAAGAAATCAAAATGTAATTAAATCCGATTATGAATAGT